TTTTTCAACAGCAGCCTTTTGTTCATAACGTTTTTTAACGTCATCACTACAAAAGAAAAGATACGGAAATATTAAGAATTGTCGCGTTGAATAGTATTAACAAATTTAACTTACCTAACTTTTTTCCATCGAGCACCAATTTCTTTCGAAATATCACCAACAGACATCGATGGACTTTTTTTCTTTATATCTGGACGTTCATCTTGTGAAAAAAGAAAAAATGCTGATAATGGTCGTTTTGGTGCATTTGGATCTTTGCTTGCTTTCTTCGATGTACCAGAAGCATTACGAGGCATTGTTAATATTATATTATATTGTATGTATATATGTTATAGAAGATGTATCTAGAAGAAAATGTATAAACGATTGCAACTGAATTTGAACACACAAAACAAATGAATAAATACGATCTCGCCTTGCTCTCTTTGACTATGAATGAACAACGAACAAGAGAGAAATGTGACCTAGTCAGGCAGTAATGAATAGAAGAAAACGCACAAACATGACGTGCCTGTCTCTCTCGCTCGGTCGTTGCCTTTTTTTTTAACATAAAGCAGTCGACGACTATGTGTGTGTTCGTGTCCGCGCTTGTCTCTCTACGTCGAGAAACACACACACGCATACACATACACTGTAATGTGAAAAGGAAAAGAAAGAATGGGGAATAAAGACGACGACAGCGCGAAACAGCTTGCCTGCTATATGTGTATGCATACACATAGAAAAATGTAACAGCAGTGTAAAAGATGAGAAAAATGGCAAATAATTTGTTAAATTATTTCATTTTCGAAGGAAAAGAGAGAGAGAGAGAGAAAAAGCAATTAAAATTTAAAATGATTATTGAGAAATTATGATAATGATTTGTTCATTTTGAAAATTATAACGAAATAATTTTTAATACAAGAAAGTTGAATTCTTTGAATTAGAATTATGTTAATAGATTTTGTGTTTAAGAAAAATTTGTTTGTCATTCGGCTTTATAAATTTACACATTTTCAATTATTACTTATATGTGATGTTTTTTCTTGTAAAACAAACAGACGAATCTAAAAAAAAAATTATTTGTATAAAAGATTACATTACTTTTCTTGAGTGGTTATTAAGAACATGTTACTATTCATATTAGTGTAATTTCAGTTAATATTTTTTTTTTTTTTAGACATACTATCTGTTGATTTCATCATATGTTCAAGATAGAAATAAAAGCATACGTAGTTGAGAGTGATGTTCGCATGTGAAATATTGTCATTACATTGCAATAACGATGTCTTCTGAAATATAAAGCTTTTACATTATTAATATTACATGTAACAAAAAAAAAAAAAAAAAGAAAAAGTCGATCTATAGCAGTCGCTTAATAATTTAGAAGCAATTGAAATGCTTAGAAAAATTTTATACGAATATCTACATAATAGAATGAATTTTACTATACAATATTAGATCTAGTGTTATTATACAATCTATATCGTTCAATCGATTTTAAAAAGTAAACATTCTTAACTTTTCAATATATAATCTCATAAGAATATTATTTCAGATGTTCATTATACTTTTGATGCGTAATCAAATCATAAAATATATAAATTCTAGTGATATTATAAATTTAATTGTAAAAACAACGCAAAATAAGCAGTTATCAATTAATATATATTCTAGTATTAATGATGAGTTCAAGTAAAAGAAATATTATATCAGAAAATTCTGATAAATTTACAGATAAGTGAATGAATAGAATATTTCTCACAGATACACAAAATCTACGTGTGTGCGACAACGCGTGTTGAGGGAAATTTAGGGAAATTTTTTCCTTTGGGAATTCCAATAGAGATATTTTTCTCTGGTGGCAATGAGTATAAGTCTGGTGCATAGCTTTGCTATTTATTTATTGATAAGCAAGTATCGAAAAAGATTTTTCTTTTATTTTACTATACAATTCATTTGTCTTTTAGAATGAAAAGTACTTCTATTTAATTAATGATTAATAAAGACGCGAAGTTTTTTTTTTGTACGAGTTTTTAGCGAGTTAAGTAAATCAATTTTTCTTTTGCTTTCTTTCAATGTACGAGTGAAAAAGAGAATTTGACTTTTCTTTTATTTTGATAGCAAGGCGAAATTTTTCGTTTTAGTAGCAGATTCGGCATTTCTGATTTCTCATAAATATCATTTCATTTTCTTTTCTTTTCTTTTGGTTAATGAGAAAAAAAAGGATTATTGTAAGATTCATTCAAGTGTAACGCATACGTACATACGTATGCCCTTGTAATATTTTATATAACTATTCTTTAACTTTTGTTTTTAAACATTAAAATTTTACTCTCCTTATGACAATAGTAAATTTTTCTTGATTTATTTTTATTACTGACTGTATTTCCGTATGATCATATTTAGGTTTTTTTTTTGTGTTTATGTATGTTGGCATAATGTATCAGAAAAAAATTGCACAATTAAAATCACATGATGAAATTATCGAAGTACCAACGGGTCAAGTAGACATTTTAGATGTTCATACAGCTATTGATTTAGTTGAACAATCAAATGCAAGAACAATATAAGATTCATAACTAAACGAAAATATAAAAAGTTTTTACTTTGAATAATAATATTTTTTTATTCTTTGAAAAATTGATTATAGCAAATATAATTCTGAAAAAAAAATCGAATATGAAAAGAGTCATTTTTACTATTACTTTACTATTCATACTATATTAAATTATTCTAAAGACACACAAGTCAAACCAATAGTTCATTTAAACGAGGAGATCTTTATAATATTAAACAGTTTTAATAAATGAATTTTGTAACTTACAAATATCATGTATTAGATGATGTAATTAAATGTTTTGATAAAGCAACAGTCGGTCATTTTATAGATGAACAAGAAAGATTTGCAATGGGTATGTGCGTTTAATATGTTTATTTAGGTTTAAAAAATAAATCAAAAAATGGATTTAATTCTTCTCAAAAACAAAGTGAATTTTCGTGTAAAATATAAAAGTTGAAATAAATGCTTGGAAAGATAGTCCGACATCTGCTCTTTCATTAATGACATGGGTTTTTATTTTGCACCTGGGTTTTTCTCGATATTTCCATCAAGAATATGTTTTTTTTTAGATAAAGTGGGAAATCTTTTTCTCTATTTATATCTTTTTTCTTGATTGGGAATCCTAGAATTCTCGAGAGTAGCGTGATTGTAACCAATGGCTTTCTTTTTTGTTTGCAACAGCATGTCAAAATGCAGGGCATGATAAAGACCATTTTTTTAAATTAAGCTTTGCATTATTATTATTATATAAGAGAGCATTTTTATAATTAAAGCGCGTTTTTTTTTTTGAGAAATTAAACTTTTCTCCTCTTAAGACTTCAGACATTAGAAAAGAAGTTTGTCATGCTCTGCATCTTGACATGTTCTTTCAAACAAAACAAAAAAAAAATAAGTGTACAGAATGATGATCCACAGAGAATTTTGAGTTGCCAAATGAGCACTTTTTGAAGCTTGTTTGTTGAATAACTCCTGAAAACATCATAACATAGGACTGAAAATTTCATTCAATTTGAATGTACTTGAGTTAAAATCGATTGTTGCAGCGATCTTAAGAATGAATGCTTGATTATCAAAATCAGGTTTGCATTCAATTATTTGAAAGAGACATTAATATATTACTTTATCTGACATTTGCAATTATAAATGGTCTTTCATTTAATATATTTAGTTGAATGAATATTACAAATTCAATATGTCAATTATTGGTGTAACTACTTTGAAGATATTGAAATATTTAAGCAATTAAACATATATAAGAAAAATCTGATTCGTATAAATCATGAAAAAACTTTCAAATAAAAATAAAGATCATATTAACTAAATTATGCTAATTAAGAACAAAAAAATCTGATTTACGAGATAAAACATCAGTTCGGAAGAAAAAAAACGATCAAAAACAAAATAGTTCATTCAAGTCAAATAAGCACAATCTCTCGTTTTAGATGTTTTTTTTTTCATTTGGTAGACACCCTATAACGAACATATTTTATTGTATTGTGACAAAATATGACCGTAATACTATTCTTATCAGACGTCAATTTGCTGCTATTTGCGATCACCAGCTGTATGAAACCATAGTATATAATATCACTTTTGACCTTTTCAGCGATTGTAATCATCACCCTGGAAAACGTTGATATGTACTTTATTCGAGTAATGAAAATAATAGATACGATTAATGTACCGAAGGAAACTGTTGATTCATTTACTGACACAGACAGAATGATATTCTTTTCCATGTAAAACCGCTACGATTGTAAACGACTGTATACGAAGAAAGTAAATGCTTGTTTACTGTCTGCGTATATGGTCTGTTTTTCTTCCTATACAACTGTATTGTTCCGTATACAGTCGCGCAGATTTACGATCGTAGTACGGAACCATATGATACGACAAATTACAGTTGTATATGGATGCCAACCTGGATAGAAAAGAATAGTCGAAATTAAATCATTTGAACGATCATTTTTTGAAACAAACTTTTCAAAAAGAAATCAATTTTATATAAATGATTTACATTCAAAAAATATTTGATTTCTCATAGATTAATTTACAAGCTTTGAAGAAAAGGTCTTGTTAGAATTTTTTTTTTCATAAGTTAAAATTCAAATATGTGATACTCTGTAAGAGTATATGAAGTTTTATGATCATTCAAAATCTACAAGATTTTGGCATTACAGGTTAAAACTACTCTTGCTTAGCTATTTGATTCATTATATGAAATATTTCTGATGTTACAGATTGAATAATCGAGTGATATTTTTCACAATATATTGACGTGCATTCTTAAAACTGATACTTGTCTCGATTGTTGTCATGATTAAGGTCTGTAAAACTGCAATTATTTTGTCATGAAATTCATATTTTCGAAAAATGAATTCTATATAATAGAGCTTTTGATACTAAAGACGGGTAATCAAATACCTCTTAAGGAGAAAGCATTCGTCTTGTTTTTATAAATCAACAAGTATTATACGAAATAAATATAAATGTATCAAAAAGTACTAATAGTCCGAACGTTAATAAGATGATGAAACAGATAAAATTTTACTTATCTAATAGTCAAAAATAGAAAACCTTATCATTAACGTCATGCAACAACCACTGTAATTATTGGTTGTTTTATATCTTACAAAAAAAAAATAATATCAGCAAACTATTACATTGATGTCTGTTTACATGTTACATTAGTGTTAATAGATCTATTCATGACATTTGTAATATTATTTATGTAAAATGTCATTAAAACAGATT